CGGCGCGGGCGGCGGGCCCCGTTTGGCCCTTCCTTGGCCTCGCAGGGGGCCTTCCCGCCCCTGCCTTTCTCCCTCCTCCCGCGCCGTGAAAAGCCGCTTCCGTGTTTGCGTGCTCTCCTCGCTGCTCTCGGGTGTTGGTGCCTTTCCTGGCGAGGTCTCGTGCGTTCGGGAGGGCGCGGGGTGAGGCGCGGATCCCCCCGAGGAGACTGTGGAGCGAGGACAGCGCGCGCCGAAGTAGGGGGAGACCCGGGTTAGACATGGAGACTCGGGGGAAGAAAATACGGCCTCGGGGAATGCGCTTAAGGGCCCGGTGTGGTGAGAGCAGCTTCTCTGTTGCTCGGAGGCCGTGGTGGATCCTGCCTGTGAGGTGCGGCTGTTGGAAGGGCCCGTGCTGCTGCCGCCGCGATACCCACAGCCTTCTCTGTGGTCTGGTGTATTTATTATGGAGCTGCGTGAGGCAGGAAAGGGGAAAATGCCCCGTTTTTAGAGGAAGATTTGAGGAACGGAGAGGAGGTGAGCTCTCCGAGAGGCAGCGTAGGCCGAGGCTGCATCCTCATCCCTCCCTCCTCATCCTCCTCCGTGTCCGTGCAGCCACACAGAGGGCTTCTAGTCTGGGGCGTCGATTTCCAGGGGGTCAGAATGGTCACGTTATAGGTGAAGTCTGGGACTCGTAATTAGTACTTCAAGTAATATCCAAGGAACTTCAGTTGTGCTTTGCATTGGAAAGCCCAAGAGGCTGCTTGCAAAACTGGGCTGCAGATTTTGTTTTCTCGTTATAAAAATGTTTTTCTCAATGATACGTTATGTAGTTTATCTGAAGCTCTCTGGTATTTTTGGGGAGTCCCTGCTATGTATAGTTAAGCATATACTTATTTTTCATGTTTATATGTATATTAAAACTGTGCAAACTTTTTTTTTTTAATGATGAATTAGAGTGATTGTGCGCTCTAAGTGTTTTGAGCCAGTGCATATTTTCTTGTGTAGTATCTTGAAGAACTAGTATTATGATATCCAGGATAATGTGGTGGTGTTTAAAGTAGCTGTCATGTAAAATGATTGTTTTAGTGGAGTTGATGGGTCATCAGTACCTCTCCTATATGTTATATGATGAGTCACATGTTTGGCCATGTGATGAGCAACATTGGGGAACTGAGTTCTTTGAAATTTTACTCACCAAAAAAAATCAGCACATGATTTTTAGTAAGATCCATTGCCCCATTGCATCTCCTTCATGCAGAGCAATACTTTTTTATTTTTTGATCAGATACTGAAAGATTATGTAACACATTTGTTATCCCAGCACAGCAGGTCCCCTATTAATAGACAGGTGCTTGTGAAGTCTGTTCTTAAGAACCTCCTCAGGCCAAGCTGTTCCAGGGCTTCGCAGTCTTTGCCGTTGGAGAGCCCTGCTAACGTCTAACCCCGAAATCTGCTGGGAACTGGGAAATCTGCTGGGAACTGGGCCCCCGTTGCTTTTGTTTTGCTTTTTGACACAGTAAACCCTGAAGCCAGATTATTGCCTCCCTTTAGATCGCAGCATCCCTTTTCACGGGCAGAGATGGTGTTTGTGTTTCTCTTCATTTCCCTAAGTTTTTCCCACAGGACATCTTTTCCTCGTTTTCCAGACTTCTGATTCTTGTACCTTCTCTTCCTGTCACTTTGCTGTAAACAATATTCACAGTAATATGAGAAGATGTCGCTAAACTGTGTATAAAAATCTAATGTATTTGTGCTTTCCCAGGACCATGCAATGAAATATGTATTTTGTTTTCCTGGAGTGAAAACAAAAGTCTTTTTCTTTTTCTTTTTTTTTTCTTTTTTTTTTCTCTTTAAAAACAGTTGTATCTGCTTGTAGAGTTTGACCTGTTAAATTTTCACTGTAGGAAATAACATCTTTGCTCTCGCTTTATGGTGGACAGTTCAACAAGACTAAATTCTGAATTGCAGGAAAGATTTTCAGTTTGGTAAAAGATACAAAAAATGCATGTGAGGGCTTCTCTGTTTAATATTATGAAAAGAAATAGTGCCATCTTCTGGAAAGACTCTGTTTCTTTCCAAAAGAGTTGAATCACTGAAACAGTCATTAGGACTTGTGCATCTTTCTGGATTTGGTATTTACCTCTAAATTAGTGGCAAAATAAAGCTGAGGAATGATTTTATTCTGGTCTCAATGCTAGTCAGAGAACATTTTTTTTCAGTATTATTTAGTAATCAAGCGTAACTAGGTGTTGCAATTCTTTAGAGAATGAATAATCTAGAGAAGGACGAACAAATAATATTTGACAAGGCAAAGAAATGGTGGAGAAATGAAATCTGTAACAAAATGTCTCATCATCCAAGCTAAATGCATAATTTTAATTCGAACTGTATGTTTCATCCCCATGTTCTCTGTACAGTTAACAGATTTTTCATTATCTTCAGTTTGCATATTCTGTTTTTATAAGAGTAGCTTGGATTGAGTTGTTGAACTCGTGTTGTATCTTCTGGCCAGGCATTTGGATCACTGATATATCTTGTTTTTATTTCAGTCTCCGTTTTGGATTCTTAATATTCCTTCAGAAGAGATGGCAAGGGGACTGATGAAACGGACAGTATGCGCAAAGTAAGAGGTGAAAAAGATGAGTATGTGGTTCTCTCTAGTACAGCCCATGCTGCCAACATTTCCATAGTTCTATCTATGTACGTGCTTTAAATTCTCAGAGTAGATGCAAACGGATGCTCTGAGCAGAAATTGCATAATGCTAAAAATATGTTATTTTGGCAGGCAAATGCGGATTAGGAGCATAGTCTTAAGCACCTTAACAAGGTGACTTACCACGGGGCCCGGGTCCCCCCTGTTTCACTTTGTGAAGTTCTAGTGCATGTGTGCTTGGGTGGGCTGAACCTGTGAACGTCCTGAAGATTCTCCTTCAGGAGTCAGCCCTGACCTGTGAGAGGTGCTTCGTGCTGCTGCCCACCGTGAGGACTGCCTGCAGATGGTGTGCTGAGTATCTAGCAGTGCGTGCAGGGTTCCTGTGCTACAGGAGGTCTTTTTCTTACAGATATGGAAAGGCCCCTAACTGGGATATTTGAGCTTTGAGCAAAAGGCCTGTGATATGATATGTGTTGCTGGACCTTCATTGCAGTATTAATTCAATTCTCTTTATCTTCCCAAGCCAGTGCTTTTCTTAAAAGATAGCAATATAAAAGCTTTAAAAGAGTTTAAAAAGACAGAAAAAAGATTTAAATACCTTAGAATTGCAGAACTGTAATATCTTAAAATGAGATACCTGATGATATTGTGTGTAAGCTGTTACTTTTCCATATTTCTTTTATTCTAGGATAGTGTGACATTTTGAAAGTCTGTTCTTATGCTTTTTCAGCCTTTGGTTTTACCCCACCAAGCTGCTAGACACCAAGGAATTTTGGGCTGATTTGCGAGTGTTACTATTGCAAAGTGGAAAAAAAATCTGATGATATCCAAGAGTATTAAGACTGAAATTTAACTTTTACTGTATGTTACCAAACAAAGAAGGCATCATTGAAATAGCAGCTCAGGATGTTTATTTAAAAAAAAAAAAAAAGTATTCCCTGTTCAGAATTAAACTTAAACCTGTGTCAAAAGTTAAACAGATGCTTCAGTACTTTGTGAAGTAAAGCCTAAATATATTGAAGAAGAAGGACTGATGGAAAGATTTGTCTGTAAGGTATCTTTTCTCCTAGCTATATGATTACAGTCTAATATTGGTGCTTTCAGGTCTATCTTTGAATTGTGGGGTCATGGCAGATCTGCAGGGGAGCTTTATACGTCTCTGAAGAGCTATCCAGTGGAGAAGATGGTATGCATGTAAAGAATCTGGATCACATATTTACCTGATCCCACTGATTAACACTGGAGCTGATCACACTGATTAACAAACATATTCTTGCCCTTTTTTCAGCTTCCGTATCTACAGTCAGACTCTACGTACAAAATACGTATTCATACGTTCAACAAAACACTGACCCAAGCAGAGAAGATAAAAAAGATAGATGTAAGCGGGTGTTGAAAGAAATCTTTAACATTTAATTTCATCTATTCATGGTATTCTTATTCTCTGCTATCAGTTTTGTCTAATATGTATTTAAGTTTGTATTTTTGAAAGTCTTAGTTTGCAACTCTTGTCCTATCAGCTCTAAATGTGATCTTTGTGTCTGACTTAAGTTTCCCCTCAAAAATCACATTTTTTTTCCTTGTTTTGTTGCTAAATAGACTATCTATAGCATATAAAAAAGACTCATGAATTATGATTCTGCCCTGATTTCACAGAGGGGAAACTTGGCCCAAAATTTTAAAATTCAAATGGATAGAGTTAGGTTCTAGATTTTTGAAGACTTTCTACTGTTCTTGCGTTGTGCTCTGGTCTGTCCTTATTCTCTCTGCCTAAGCTTTAGCTTTTTTTTT